AGGAAAAACAGATCACACTTCAAAGGGAGTGTAATGCCTGCTGCAGCAACTGTGCTCAAATCCCAGTGCAAAAGGCAGAATAAAGCAGCAGGAAAAATTCTTATTGTGAAGGTAACCTTACACTCCAACCTCACTGTTACACTTTAACTTAGCTGTAAGAATCACTACGTCATTGTTGATGTATGCATCACCGACACCCTCAGTGTTCGTGGAGCACCTTTAGGAGTAACATCTCCTACCAAGGAGTCAGAAGCCCCCTCCCCAGTTCACACTGGGAAAACCAAGGCACGGAAAGGTGAAATGGCTCCTGCTCCTCACACTTCCAGTTCGGCGCAGCTTCCCCTGGAATCTGCTGCGGGGATTCTGCGGACAGCGTTACCCTCTGCTTAGTGTACCACAGGAACGCTACCTCAGAGCCTGAAAGCAATCGGTCGGCTTGGTGTGGCACTGAGCCCCAGCCAACCCGTCCCACCTTTCCTGGTGCCACATGGATATGGGTGTCCCAACTTCCAGCACTTTGGGGGGTCAGCTCTGCCTCTGGACCCCAACAAAGAGCACCCGAGGCAGAGAGTGAACATGTGCTCATAGACGTTGGTCCAGCACGGAGGAAAATGCAAACTTGCTATGCTAGATGGATAGAGCATGAAACTTTGCAAACCAATCTGTTTAAGAACGAACCACCTTATCCCTGTGCTCGTAAGTGATCGTGATGGGCTCAGCAGCAGCACACAACAAGGTAATTTTTAGTACATTTCAGGGTGACTTAGAGAATTTTGTTGTTTGCTTTGATTGCCTAATTTGGGACAGTTTCGTGCGTGTTCAGATAGACTTTACTGAAGTAAAAATGTAGGCATTGTCTTGAATAATTTTATGGGGAAAAAAATAACTGAGGGACTCTTTGATGGTAAAAGTGATACAGTGCATTAGTCTGATTTCATGCACAGTACACAGAGAACAGATGACTACCTGCAGTTATTTTTTCCATTTAATCTCAAAATCATTAATTTAGGAAAAACTTTTGTTTTCTAACTGTAAAGTTTTTCCTTGCCTTTAATGAGTCATAACAGCAGGCACATAAATAGAGTATTTTGTGCCTAGCAACCCAAAATATTAAAGCCTTTCTTCTGGTTACCGTTGAACAGCTGCATCACCTGCAGTACAAAATGATAAACAGGGTATAGTAAGCAAGTGCAGAGTAATTTCCATTTGCATTTCCATTTCCATTCTAAAATACCATATTACTTGTCTATGCAAACAATTTTTTGTTGGGTGTTTTTAATAACATTCCCCTCTCTGGACCAGAAAACCATTGAAAGTCAGAAATAACTATGTCAGTTTTAAAAATATCTAACACAAAGGAGTTTCCAGCACAGTTTTAGAGAGAATGACATGGAATATAAATGCCTTTTTATTTTATTTTATTACACTTATAGTGTCTTCTAGAGAGCAATGAAATTTTCTTACAGTTGCTTCAAAATAATAAAAAAACTGTGTGAGTCTCGGTAGACACAGTCAAAATAAATGGAATTGTCACTTTTTCCTCTAACCTTTTATTTCTCTAATTGAATTGTACTGTGCTGGAATAACGTATCTGCATAATCACACACACACACACAAAAAGGCTAATTCAGGGCTACCTGTTTTACTCAGAGAGAAGCTGCCCACTGAAAGGGAATACTGTGAAAATAATATGGAACTGAGCTTTCTCTAGCACAGGTTTTATGAAGCAAGCTGTATAT